TATATATATTATATATATATATATATATTTTATATATATATATATTAATTATCTTTTCTATATAATGTAAAGATACACATATATGTGAAGATTAAAGTCATAAGAGTTGGACTCTTTATGATGATCTGTTTATCGTTATTTCACGAATAAAATATATAAAATGATATACAAATGTACTATTTATTATTGGGAATTTGTTACCATAATAATTAATAAATTATATCATAATGTTACGATATATCAATGTGTTTATTTAATGCTCTATCATAATTCATATATTGTATTATTTATCTTATTAAACATTTTATCAATATTTTTATATTATAAAGCATTATAAAAAATACAAATATATTATCAATAAAATATATTATCAATAATTTTACTCACGACTGGAAATAATAAATATAGATTTATTAAATCTAATTCTAATGACTCCTAACTTAAATTTTACTAACATATAGAAAAATATTATGTAATCTTATAAAATTAAAATACAAAGTTAAACACTGATTTATGTATCCACTGTTTTTATACTATGTATATTATTTTATAAGTAAATAAATATTTAATTGTTCTAAAATTAATAGTTCTAAATTTTTAATAAAAATTGTTCCTTTCTTTAATATATGCATTATCATATGTAATTTTTCTACCTATTTAGGATATATTATAAGTAATAATCAAGCCAGAAAGACTAAAAGAAAGAAGTGTTGAAATCGCAGTCCACATTGTTTCGTAATATCATGGTTTAATAACATCTACATCAGCAATTAAATCACACAAGCACAAATTGATAAGTTTTAGTGTGTTCTCTGGTATATGCATTAATCATCTCAAGTCATCTCAAGTCGATTCCTGTAAAGACTTTCAAACACTTGTTTCTTATTTACAATTAAATATTACTAAATTTTTGCCCACTCGAATAAAATCCCAATATCTATGTTCTAATTAGAAACAAATCATTATATTCTTGTGCTATTATTATAATCTTATATTTAATATATTATAATCTTATATTTTTCTCGCCCGCCGGAATTATCTACGTTTTCACAATTGTACAAAAAAGTTTTACTAACGCGTTTTAAGTTCGCGTCTACACACGCGAAGTAATTTCAAACGCGAAGTAATTTGTGGATTTTCCAATTAATTTTCTTTTCACGCGATATTATTTAGGAAAAGAGAATTTTCCAGAAATAATCTTTTTTTTTTGTCGCAATCTGAAATGTTTTGTCGAACAAGTTAAATAGTATGATTCGATATATGGTCGCCTCTATTCGCGAGCCTGATGACCTTGCTCCCCCCCACTACTGCATAATCTGAATGCATCTTTGACGGCATCTGTAAACGAGTTTCAAAGAGTAAAGAAATGATCAGTCTACGTCTCAGTGAAGATTCGACAAGATGGTGGGAGCGTAACTCCAAGATTTTACGTGGACATCTGCAGCCAATTGTTGTTGAATTTAGCAGGAAATTTTGAATCAACGAGAAGCGCTTTAAAGTATTTTGTGACAAGTATCTTATCAAAAGTATCAAAAAAGAATTAATTAATCTTGAAAGGAAACAAGAATGTATATAATAAACAAGTAAATAGGGATACATATAAATCAGAATATACTAAAGAAGTATTATTTGAAATTCTTGAAAGACATTCTGATAATCGTAAGAAGAAACTGATATTTCAATAAAAATGCAATAAAAAATACATTGACAATATAGAAATATAAGCAAATTAATAAAGTGAAGGTAAATAGATATATGCAAAAGTTACGTTGACGCTCACTAAGTTTGAAGTTCGTTTAATGAAACAGTGATTTATACGTGATTTATTACTGGTCCGATGATTTCTAAAAATCAAGGTATAACAAGATGAATGTGTTTGTAGAATTTGCAAAATACTTTTATTCATTTACAGATGTTAATCACTTTACAGAAATTTTTTCCTTGTAAACATAATTTACTGGAGAAATATGAGTAATTAAAAGCAAAATTAAATTTCTTCAAAACGTGTTTTTTGTATTGTACGATTCGTAGTTGGAATTTATATTTAAATATATTAACTGTTCCTATTTTCTAATCGAAGCTATCGAAGTTTATCGATTATTTATCAAGATTATTATTATATTTAAATCATTCAAATATTTTAAAAGAAATCTTTAAAAGAAATCTTTTATATTTAAATCATTCAAATCATTTTATATAACAATGATCCATCTCTCGGACGCAAATTGATCTAAAGTGTTGTAATTATTGTTAAAACAGAAATTTATATACCAATTTATTGAAAAAATAAATAAAGTAAATGAAGTGCAATTAAAACAAAATTATTATCTCTGATTCCTCTTATCAATATAGAAGACGCATTGGATTTTATAAATAATAAAGATTATCGAACAGAATATTTGCATACAACATTTTATAATGCATGAACGTATTTAATATACATAGAATTTTATTTAATTTAATCTTCATCATTAAGAAAATAATTTTGCATTAATTATACGAACAAGGTATTTGTCCAAATGCAGTTGTCGATTTAAAGAAATAGAAATGCAAGTAAAGATGAGAGTACACATAGAACTTGTCGACATATATCGATAATATTTTAATTACGTTAATATTTTAATATTTTAATATTTTAATTTTAAGTTGTGTTAAATATTAAGATCTATTTATAAAAATTATAAATATATTTATAAATCATATTTATTTGGTCTGTAACAGAATCCTACGAGATGGCTAAGATTTCTATTTTGATCGCATTGTTACCGCAGTTTTGCTCGATCATTCAAGGATTAGCCCCATGTATTGATTACTACACATATATAGCCAAACAAGGAACAAATGAAATATTGGGAGAGATCACAATCCAATCTCCATCTCCAAAACTTCCTCCATATGATTTGCAAGTGGGCTTTAATACGGACTCTTGCTTACATACAGTAAGTTTAGTATTACTAATAATATAACAGAGAGAGAGAGAGAGAGAGAGAGAAGTTAGCATGTAAGATTGATTATTAGTTATTATAATAGGCGATGTTTAATAATTGTTAGCATGTTGAATTCATCTATTGTATCGATGTTCTTCTTTATAGACGCGATATTTCTAAAATATGATTTAACTAATAAAAATTATTTAGAAAACAAACTTGAACATATCTTTCTCTTATAAAAACATCTTTCAGACACGCGTATTGTATTGTCTAAATCATGATTTAAATGAATTGAAATAAAAATTAAGAAATGATTTGAAAAAGTTTAAAATTTGATTTGTTACTTTTCTCATTATTTAAAAACAAGATAGTATACTTTATTTATATAATACAATAATAGAAATAATTTAATTGTTGGTACATTTCAGAAGGAACCTGTTGCTCAACTACAGTTGGCACAATCGATACCAGAAGCCATTCAAGCTGTTCAGCAAGGAAAGTCTTTGTTATATCATGTTCATTTTCCCTTGGGCCAACCAATTCCAAGACTAACCAAAATACTGTTTAATAATCAACAGATTTGTCCGAGCTTTGAAAGTAAATGAAAAATGCTAACGTATATATTTGAGGAAACAGAAGCAAAAGTTTCAATTATCAATTATTTAAATTTCATGAAATTAGTTTATATTTTGTGTGTATAAATAATATGTAATATTTCATTAGAACAAAACAAAGATAAAAATAGAATAGTAGAAAGATAACTCTTACTAAAACATTAAAAATTTTTTGTTCATTGTATATCTTTTTTTTTTATAAGAAAGTATTTTATGTCCATGTTCCTTAGAGATCTTTTTTCTATGAAAGAGAAAATTCTTTCCTTATTAAAAAGATTCAAGAAATGTTACATCTTATTTCAGAAATAGAAACTATCACAACTACTAAAGAAATACGACTACTTACATATAACTCGACAAACGAAGAGTCATTTTCAATGGCGGAAACTAACAACGAAAACTCAAGCTTACCTAGAATAGAAGACAATAGAAGAGACCCATCAAATACTACTGACGGAACTAGTAACAATGAATGCGGTATCAGCAATTATACCGACCGCAAAAATCTTCTAGTCATTAACGGAGAAGAGACAAAACCGGGTCAGTGGCCGTGGCTAGTGGCACTCTTCGTTGTAAGAAAAGACCATGAATTTAGGTGTTGTGGTTCTGTTCTGTCAACCAAACATATTTTAACAGGTATTGTAAAAAAAATCAAAGGAAATATTCTATAGAATAAAATCATTAGTGTGTGCAACTTCAAAATATTGTTGAATCATAATTATATTTTTTATGTTTTCCGACACTGAGCGTAGATTATTAGAAAATTTATTTCATGTATTTATTTTCTTACAGCGGCGCATTGCTTAAAGTTGAATTTTTCCAGTAACTTTGATATACCTCCCAACGTATTAATAGTGGCTTTAGGACGATTTAATTTGCGCCAGTGGCGTGAGAGAGGAACTATAAATCGGGAGGTCGCAAGTTACACGATACATCCCGATTACACTAACAAGGATTCCGGCGATTCCGATCTGGCGATTTTGATACTCAGAACAGCCGTCGAGTATAGCCATTTTATCAAACCTATTTGCTTATGGATTGGTTCGAACAATCTCGATGAGATTGTCAACAGAATAGGATACGTTGTAGGATGGGGTCAAGACGAATTTGGTAATCCTTATACCGCGGAACCACGAATGGCGAGAGTTCCGATTGTGAGTGAGGTAAGAATCTTCACCAATAGAGAATCAATTTTTCGCTTTTCGTGTTTTTTTTTGCTATTCGATCGACTGACAAATCAAATTTCATTAACAAGTAAGATTATTTAAAAACAAAACATTCGAAACGTGAGTATATATTTAATGGTAATAAATTCAGAATATTTATATCGTGTAAGGAAAATGATTAGAGATTTTAATGACGATACGGGATGTTCCATGATTTTGTTTTTTACATAATAAATTGCTATTATGAAAATAATGTAATAATAATAATAATAATAATAATAATAATATTTCCTGTATATATTTATAAAAAATGGATTTGTTAATGTCGTTGCACTTGAATTAATAAGCGCAATCGTCAATCATGTATTAAAAACGAATTTTTACGAATGTTCTTAAAATAATTCCAATAAAACAATTCCATACAATTCCGAGATAATAACGACATTGAAGAAACGTAGAATTGGTGTTAAATCATTTTAGAATCAAATATTGCAAATGGTGAAAGTATTGTTGTGTAAATTGTAGGTAACTTGTCTCAGGAGTCACCCAATTTTCCTTACTCTTACCTCGGAGCGCACTTTTTGCGCTGGTTTACGATATCAAAGTCCTTGCAATGGTGACAGCGGGAGCGGATTGATGCTTTACGACTCTTCTACAGGCCGTTATCGTTTGCGTGGCGTCGTTTCGCGGTCAATAATTGGCAATGATTTTTTGTGTGATCTCCAGAGATACATTGTCTACGTCGATGTGGCCAAATATATACCCTGGATTCAAGAGCAGATCTCTACTACGTAATTCTGATCTCTTACCTTGTACAAAATACAAGGTGTGTTAGAAGATAAGTTTTTAAGGTTTATTTGAAATTATGGTATTTACATTCGGCGTAAAGATTGAAGAGAGTTACAAGTTTGATTTTTTACGATAAGAAAGATTGAAATTGTGCAAATACCTAGAAGAGATAAATTATAGAGATAAATAAAGCTGACGATTATTTATCAGTTATAGAAGTCTTTACTCAAAGGATCCAGTTATTTAGACTTATTTATTTATTTTAAACTAAAATAACATACGATCTCAAGTACATTGTCGATATGTCTAAATCTGAATTAAGCAAATCTTTGTTACGTAACGGTCTTTCACTGTATAACATAAAATATGCTTGTTGACAGCTTTT